AATATACTCATTCCTAATTTTGTCTTATCTAGTCTTGCCACATATCCACCTCAACATTCTCATCTCAGCCACACTCATTTTATCTAGCTTAATATTTATAATGTTTATTACTTTTTTGTAATTATTTTTCTGACCACCACTGTTAGGTTATTTTCCCTTTTTTTGACTTTTTTTTGTTTGTTAATTATGTGGGACTCAGAACTTTGGTTTCATAAGTCATACCTTTTGTGTATATATGTATACTAGCGTTGTGTCCACACTGATGGGTGTGCTATTAAAACTGCAAGAAATTATAAATTTTGATCTGAAGAGCAATTACATGAGGCAAGAAGTTACATGTAGCAGCGTTAGGGTATTATTTGAAAACCATAAAAAAGTGAGAGTCTACACCAACTTACGGGTACCATTTATATATTAGTATATAGACATGTATTTTGCAGTCAAACACTGGAAACAAGAAAATATAATTATTTCATGTGTAAAAGGTTTTAAATGTTTTTTTTTAGTTGTAAATTATGTTACAGAAAAACAAATGGACTACTAATTCTTGTTCTTTTTTGGTAATTCAATTGGTTATTATTTTATAAATGAAGGTAAACAACTCAACTCAGCAAGCCTTTATAAGTCTTTAATCCTAAGTATTCAGGGTCAGCTACATGGATCCATTTCCTTATGTTGATTCTGTTCAAAATCATATCATTAGTTAAGTTTAAGTTAGTCATGTCCTTTCTTATCAGCCCATCCCCATGTTTTCCTTAGACTTCCTCTATTTTTTTTTCACCCTCCACATGATCAAATCACTTATCTTTCTAGGCGCATTAACTGGTCTACAAACCATATGTCTATACTATCTCAATGGCTTTCTTGTTTTTTGCTTTTTAATTTGTGTTATTTCTATCTTCTTCCTAATGAATTTATTTCTTGTTTTAGCCTTTTTTTTTTTTTCCCCCCTTCTTTTCTTTTCTTTTCCCCACTCATCCATCTCAACAATATCCTTTCAGCTATGCTCAATTTGTGGACATATTTTTTTTTTTTAACTGCCCCACATTTGATACCATACGTCAAAGTGGGTCTTATAGCAATTCTATAAAATTTTCTCTTCGACTTTCAGGAATCGCACGATCACAAAACAATCTTGATGATCTTCTCCATTTCATCCATCCTGCTTTGATTCTATGTGCCACACCTTAAATTTCTACATCTTTATAAATAATTGATCGAAGATTTCAAAAATGATAATTCTATAGCTATCTCTTGCCTATCAAGTTTACTTCGTCTTTGTCTAATTATAACTTGCTTGTTAGTAACTTAATTAAAATTTATGGTCACACCTTCAAGAACATGGATTCTAAGAATTCTATAAAAGAAAGCTATAATGAGAGTTAATGACTTGTTTCCGTTTATCCATAAGTGGAGGGGAATGGATTGTGGTTTAATCCATCTGAAATGTACGTCAATAAATGGTGTCAATTTTGGATTTTCAGATCTAAAATTTGTAGAACTGTTGAAGAAGACTAATAGGATATGTCGAATTTCAAGTACAATGCATGGCGGCCAACTAGCCTTTGTATTGAATTGAAGATACAAGATGCACTTGTTTGCATGTTGTAGTTGCTTTTGTGTTTAATTGTTGTTTATGTAATTATATTTGAATTTCCATCTAACACTCATTACAATTTCTAAGTATTCTGTCTTTCTTATGAACCACATACTTTAGAATGCAGACCCCTTATGCTCTATTCTATATATTATATGTATATATATTTCTTTGGGTGTCATGTTTGAAACATCCTCACTTACTAGCCAATTAACAAATTTTGTGGTCTCTTTACAATTTAGAAGTATAGGGCTTGTCTATGCAAATATATATATTTTTTTCTCTTTGGAAGGACTAATTCCGGTTGATAACGAATAGGAAGGTGTTAAGTGTTAGGGGTAGTTTGGTCTTTATGTATTATTCTTATTAGTATAAATAGTTGCGTGTAAGGGGGAAATCCTAAGCTTTTGAATCAAATAATATACACAGTAGCTTCTCTCTTCCTCTCATTCTGTTTCGTTTTCTTCTTCTTCTTCTTCTTCTCATCTATACATTCAACATGGTATCAGAGCTTCATCTTCCTCCTCCTCCTTGACGATTTCCTTCCTGTTCTTGTTCTTGTATCCTGGTATGTCTGCAAAAATAAAATAAAATAAAATAAAAATTCTAGTATGCCTAAAATTTAATGGGTATCAACCCTGTGATCTCCTTTTGATTTGTTGGTCATTATTGAGTGTTTTTTCCAATTTTTTTGATTTTTTGTCAAAACTAGGTGTTTTTTCGGAAGTCACTGTTTGAACCTTTGTTTGCTGGTTTTTTCTCTTTCCTTCATTCCCTCTCACCCTGGGGAGCCGACTGGACCCCTTGAAGGTTTTGCTGTCCCTAGTTTGATGTATTTGGGCCCTACCTTGGTTTTTTTCTTGTTGTTTGGGTGCTCTGCTTCGGTTTTCTAGCTTCTAATTGATCTGATTGCTTTGTTCTGGGCTTATCGTGGACTGTTTCAGCCTTAGATGGTAATTTGCTATGCTGGTTAGGTGTTTTTTGGATTTGTTTGATATCCTGCTTGTGTTTCTGCACTCTTTTTCTCTCATCTCATGGCTGCTAGCTTGGGTTTGGACTCTAAGTGCAAGGAAGAGAGTGGATTGAGTCGTGGTATGACTCTTGGTGATAGTTCTTTTCTCCAGATTAGTTTGGTCAAGCTTAATGGTACCAATTACTTGATTTGGTCCTGCTCTTGCAGTCTTGCCATTGCCACTCGACGGTTGACTAGCTATATTACTGGTAGTACTTAGCAACCTACTGAGGATAGCACTTTATCTGCTTAATGGATTTCTGAGAATGCTTTAGTTATGACTTGGCTCATCAATTTTATGGAACCTACCATTAGTCGGACTTTTCTCTTGATGGATACTGCTCACAAGATTTGGATAGCTGCATCTCAGATGTATTCTCAACATGAGAATGATGCACAGGCCTATGAATTGCGAAAGAAGATTAGGGGTTTGGATCAGAAGGATCGCTCTCTAGCAGTCTACTATATTGAGTTGAGTGGTTAATGGCAAGAGCTAGATTACTACCAGAGTTTCCAGCCAGTTTGCTCCACAAATGCCACTATGTTTCAGCAGGCTGTGGAGAAGGAGCAGGTGTATGACTTTCTTGTTGGCCTGAATTTGGAGTATAATCAAATACAGGTTTAGATGTTGGGTCACTCTCCGTTTCCTACATTGCGTGAGGCTTATGCACTGGGTTAGCAGGAGGAGAGTCGTCGTAGTGCTATGGCGCCCCTGTTCAGTATCGGTCAGCAATGGTTGTCGGCCCTAAGTAACGTGATACTCCACCTTGTCAGCCTCACGTGGTGGTAAGGGTCCATTGGTTGATCGGGACCGGTTAAAGTGTGATTATTGTGGGAAAGATAGACATGATAAAGAGCACTGTTGGAAGTTGCATGGCTAACCTACTCGAGGCCGTGGTCGTAGTGGTGGTGTTCGTCCTCAAGCACATGTTTCTGAGACCACTGCTAGTGTCTCGGATGATGCTGGTTCTATTTCCCAGGATGAGCTTCACACTCAGATGTTTGATGGCTTGACTTGATTCTTCATCTGCCTTAGCTCCTTCCTCTTCTGCCTCTTCCAACTTTACCCACACAGGTATTTCTGTTAGTGCACTTTGTACCTCTTCGTTGTCTCTTTGGATCATTGATTCCGGTGCTACCGATCACATGACTTGTACTTCTAGCTTTTTCCATTCTTATTCAACTAGTTCTCGGCGAGATAAGGTTAGAGTGGCTGATAGCAATTTATCTTCTATCTTCGGCAAGGGTTCTGTTCATTGCATCTCTTTACTTTTGTTTTCATCTGTTCTTCATGTTCCTAATTTTTCAACTAACTTACTTTCTATTAGTAGCCTTACTACTGCTCTCAATTGCTCTGTAACTTTTTTTCCGCCTCATTGTCTTTCAGGAGCTGGCTACGGGGAAAATGATTGGCAGTGGTAGAGCACAAAGTGGACTATACTTTCTGGATGCCATTTCTGCATCAACTTTGTCCTCTTAGGCTCTTCAATGCATTTCTGGCTCCTCCCTTCGTCTTCTTCATCAGTGGCATTGCCGTTTGGGGCATTATTCCTTTAGCATTTTAGAGAAACTTTTTCCTTCATTAGTTTGAGATTGTCCTACGAATAACTTTGTTTGTAATGCTTGTGAGCTTGCTAAGCATAAACGTACTTGTTATCCTTCAATTAATAAAAGAAGTGTTTTTCCTTTTATTCTTATTCATATCGATGTGTGGGGCCCTTTCCCTGTGGTTTCTACCTCTGGTTATCAGTGGTTTCTCACGTTTATTGATTGTTATTCCCATGTGACTTGGATTTATTTACTTCGTACTAAAAATGAAGTTTTCTCGTGCTTTAAAGGTTTTCATAAAATGGTCTTCAATCTCTTCAATGCTACTATCAAAATTCTTAGGAGTGATAATGGGACTGAATATGTTGATGGTGCTTTCAGGGCATACCTCGAGGAGCATGGCATTTTTTATCAAACTAGTTTTGTTCGCACTCTTGAATAGAATGGAGTTGCTGAACGCAAGAATAGCCACCTCCTTGGGGTTGCTCGCTTTCTCTTGTTTACCATGAACGTTCCTAACTCTTTTTGGGGGGTGCTGTTCTTACCGCGGCTTACCTTATTAACCGTATGCCCTCTAGTGTTCTCCACTTTCATATTCCTCTTGAGTTTCTTCTTGTGACTTATCCCACTTCTTCCCTTTTGCCTTAGGTTTTTGGTAGTGTCTGTTTTGTTCATCTTCAACCTCGTGCTCGTGGGAAGCTTGATCCTAAGCCTATTCGGTGTGTCTTTCTTGGTTATTCTACTACTCAGAAGGGCTACAAATGCTATAACCCTCACACTCATAAGCTGTATGTTAGGATGGATGTCACCTTCCGTGAATCTGAGTCCTTTTTTTCTGGTCCTCCGCTATCTCGTTAGGGGGAGAGTGGTATCGATGAGATTACGGATGAGACGTCATCATATCAGCATGAGTTGTCTTTTTTCCTTCCTAATTAGCGAGCTGTTATTTGTGGTGAGGGGGAGCCTAGCAGTTCTGTTGATGAGGAGTCGAATATCGGTGGTCGTTTGGACAGAGTTGATTTTAAGATTTATTCATGGCATCAGAAAGAGTAGGCTTCTCTTGTGCCACCACGTCAATCGTCATCTCCTATGCCAGTTCCACACCCAGTTTCCATTGACTATACAGGTAATGATCCTCAACCTATTTCTTCACCTGTTGTTGATAGTCTTGTTACTGATGATTTGAGTCTTCCTATTGCTCTCAGAAAGGGAGTTAGAGCTTGTACTCAATACCCCATTTCTAAATTCGTGTCATATGATTCGTTGTCTTCTCCATATCGTGCTTTTGTTTTGTTTCTTTTTCTGTGTGTATTCCACAGGGTTGGAAAGAAGTCATCAATGATCCTAAGTGGAAGGTAGCTATGGTAGAAGAGATGCAAGCTTTGAGTAAAAATAACACATGGGAGTTGGTGTCTCTTCCTAATGGGAAAAAATCAATTGGATGTAAGTGAGTGTTCACCATTAAGCACAATGCAGATAGGACGATTGAACAGTACAAAGCAAGACTAGTGACCAAGGGATTTACCTAGACATATGGAATAGATTATCAAGAAACTTTTGCTTTAGTAGCAAAGATGAATTCCATTTAAGCTATTCTGTCATGTGCTGCTAATTTGGGATGGCCTTTACAACAACAGGATGTGAAGAATGCGTTTCTTCATGGGGATTTGGAGGAGGAGGTATATATGGATGTACCTCCAAGATTCTCATCTCAGTCTCCTGTTGGAAAGGTTTCTAGATTGAAAAAGGCTTTGTACGGTTTGAAATAATCTCCTAGAGCCTGGTTTGGTAGATTCCTAAAAGTAATGCTGGGATTTGGGTATTAGCAAAGCAATGCGGATCACACCTTGTTTGTCAAACGCAATGTACATAAGGTAGCAGTGCTTATTGTATATATGGATGATATAGTTGCGACAGGTAATGATGAGGAGGAGGTGACCCATCTTAAGATGCAGTTAGCCAAGGAGTTTGAGATAAAAGATCTTGATCCATTGAGATACTTTCTTGGGATTGAAGTTGCCAGATCTGATAAAGGCATCTTCATTTCTCAAAGAAAGTACATTCTAGATCTTCTTGAGGAAACGGGCATGTTGGGCTACAGACCAGCTGATTCACTGATTGAGACTAATCGTCGTCTTTGTAGTGGGGTTGGTGTGCTTGTGGAGAGGGAAATGAACCAAAGACTTGTGGGAAAACTGATATATCTCTCTCATATTCGTCCAGATATTGCCTTTGCAGTTGGGATAGTGAGTTAGTTTATGCATGATCCTCATGCAACTCATTTGGATGCAGTCTATCGCATTTTGCGGTACCTTAAATCTGCCCCTGGAAAAGGAATTTTGTTTTCTAATCATGGTCACTTGATGTTGGAATCGTTCACAGATGCAAATTGGGTAGGCTCTATAGATGACAGACGCTCTATCTCTGGTTATTGTGCTTTTGTAAGGGGAAATCTAGTCACATGGCGTTATAAGAAGTAGGCGATAGTTTCCAGATCTAGTGCTGAAACTGAATATAGGGCTATGACACATAGAATATGTGAACTAATGTGGCTTCAATCTTTGTTGAGTGATATAGGGCTTGATTGAAGTGATCCCATGACTTTGTATTGCGACAACAAAGCTGCTATTAGGCCAAGTTTGGGAAGACTAAATAAGTGCACTTTTTGTCTTTTTGGACTAAAAAATTGAGGTTGAAAATATGGATGTTTGGGTTAACTTTTTGACTTTTTATTGAAAAATGTGTAATAAAAAATTGTAAAAATTGATTTGTAGAGAAAAATTTGAATTGGGAGTTGTGCAGCCGTAATTGTTGACTTTTGGTGAATAGTATTAACTTTTTAACTTTTTGAGTAACTTTTTGGCTTTTTGGCTTTTTGGGAACATCCCAAACTTAGCCTTAGTATTGCACACAATCCTATTCAACATGACTGGACTAAGCATATTGAGATTGATAGACATAGCATATTGAGATTGACAGACATTTCATTAAGGAGAAGTTGAATAAGGGCATAATATGTATGCCTTTTGTTAAGGCTGAAGATCAACTGGCGGATGTTTTTACTGAGGGTCTTAGTAGTAAAGTCTTTCACCCTATTTGTTGCAAGTTGGGCATGAGAGACATCTTTGCACCAACCAACTTGAAGGGGAGTGTTAAGTGCTAGGGGTAGTTTGGTTTTTATGTATTATTCTTATTAGTATAAATAGTTGTGTGTAAAGGGGAAACCCTAAGATTTTGAATCAAATAATATACACAACAACTTCTCTCTTCCTCTCGTTCTATTTCTTCTTCTTCTTCTCATCTATACATTCAATAGAAGGTGAAGAGGAAGTCAATTTCAAACATTAGATGTCAAGAGTGTGAATTTCTATTTTAATAATTTAGGGAAATTACCAATGAGTTTTGTTTTGCTTTGAAGATTACTATAAAGTTCTATCAAGTTTCAAAATGGACAACTAAGTCCTATTTGGAATAAATTATTCCAAGGAGTTCATTTTTCCATAATAGTGTATTTTATTCCAATTTTACCCTTGAACAACAATTTCATAAATAATTTTAATTTACTTAAAAATTATTATTTTTTAATTGATTATATTAAACAAAATCATAAACAACAATCCTATAGCATAAAATTCATGATTTCCATTATTTCAAACTATGATTTTTAAATTTTAAATTTTAATTTTTTTTATAAACAATCCAAAAAAGTTTAAATTTTATTATATATTTATGAATGCTTGAGATAATTGATGAATTTATATACCTATGCTTTTGTTTATGAAAATATATTTAATTTCAATAATTAAAAATATTCTTAATTATAAAAATTTTAATAAGTTAATTTTTTTTAATGAAATTTCTGTTCATATTTTAATGAAAAGAGTAAAGTTGTGATATATATATTTTTTTTATAAACAATCCAAAAAAGACTAAATTTTATTCTATATTTATGAATGTTGAGATTATTGATGAATTTATATACCTATGCGTTTGTTTATGAAAATATATTTAATTTCAATAATTAAAAATATCCTTAATTATAAAAATTTTAATAAGTTAATTTTTTTAATGAATATTTTGTTCATATTTTAATTAAAAGAGTAAAGTTGTGATAAAATATACTATTATGGAGAAATGAACTATTTGGAAATAATTTATAAAAAATAGGATTTAGTTGTCCATATTGAAACTTAATAGCATTTGAAAGTAATCTTCAAAGCAAAATAGGACGTATTAGTCATTTTTCCTAATAATTTTGTGTAGTTGGAGGAGCATTAGGAAAAGTATCAGGAAATTTCCAAGTAAATTAGGTTATGACCTTGAGCCTTAATATATCTTTGTTTGTTGCTGATCCAAAAAAAAAAAAAAATTTGAATGAAGAGTAAACATAAAAGTTTATATATGTGCATAGAATCTAGTAATGCCATAACCAAAAGCTTAATAATTGAAGAGTCAAACTAAGAGCAATGAATTAAGGATTTAATAATAACTTTCAAATAATGCGATTCATGGGCCAAATTAATCTTTCCTTTACATTTTATTTGATTTTATTTTTCTTCTTTTTCTTTTCCCCATCCTCTGCCTTCAAAAACAAGAAATTGACAGTTCCTTCACTTCTTGGACTTTGGTAAGTCCTTGTTGATATTACAGGAGAAAGTTGTTTACGGTTTTCTGAAGGAGAATATTTCCCTTCTTCAAATTGCAGTTGCAAGTTAGCACCTGTTTCATGTTTTTGGAGTGTCCAACTCCAAAAGCTGATTCCACTTTCTGTGATAACATAACTAAACAATCTGGTAGAAGATTAGAAATAAAAATGAAGTATAAGTTTGGAAAAAAAAAATTAGATTAGTGGTAAACTTTACAAATTTTAATAATTAAAGCTTTAAAGTTTTCCATGAATGAGTAATTATTTTTGAAAGATCAAACTGATTTGTAATTCTCCCATAAAAAAACATTAATTTTTCGTCTTTGCTGTGATGTTCTTCAGAGTTCATACACTCTAGACATGTTTAAAGTCCCAGTTCATCAAGTTGCTGGCCATCAAGCCATTGGTGGAAAGCTTGGGCCCCTTGTGGATGATGACGGACGATTCTACAAGCCTCTCCAAAGTGGTGAACGTGGGTCCACTGAAAAAGCCTTCTATACATCATTCTCCTCCAACACTAGCATTCCAGAGGACATTCGCAGGTTCTTCCCTGTTTTCCATGGCACTCAGGTTCTAGAGGCATCTGATGGATCTGGCCCATGTCCTCACCTTGTTTTGCAAGATATTGTCTCAGGTCACCTCAGCCCATCCATCATGGACATTAAGATGGGTGCCAACACCTGGCCCCCGCAATCACCTGAGGACTATATAACAAGATGCTTGGAGAAGGATAGGGAAACTACAAGCATCAATTTGGGTTTCAGGATAGAGGGGTTCCATATATATAGAAGTGAAGAGTCAGATCTCTGGAAGCCTGAGAAACAGTTTATCAAGAGTTTTTCTGCACAGGATGTTAGATTAGTTCTGAAGAAGTTTGTTTCTTCCAATGCATCTCCAGATTTAGATTTGAACCCGGATTGCGCTTTCGCGTCGATTGTTTACGGTGGTTCCACTGGTATTTTGGCACAACTGCGGGAGCTGAAAGCATGGTTTGAGGTTCAAACTATTTACCGTTTCTATTCTTGTTCAGTCCTTATGATGCATGGAAAGGGGGGCTCGGGCGCAGCTGTCAAATTGGTTGATTTTGCACATGTTGTGGATGGAGAAGGGGTTATTGATCACAACTTTTTAGGTGGACTCTGTTCTTTGATAGAGTTTATCTCGAAAGCCACTCAAGATGAGTACCCAAACAAAACTTGTTTGAAGGACTCTGAGAACAACCGGTCTTCTTCTGATAATTGTACCTGTGAATAAACAGAGCATGGTGAGTCCTTTTTAACTATACGCATTGCATGCTAGTGCTCTATTCTGCATTATTTGGTGTTTTCCGAACTTAGTTCTTTTTAGAGTTGAAACTTTCTGAGATTACTGAAATCGTTGTAATGAATTTAAGTTACTTGAAGATATTTGAACTCAATTTGATTGTCGCCCGTCTGGCTAAGGGAGAGATTCTTGTTACTAAAATGATCTCAAGATACACAAACAATATATCAATCTATCTATATATAAATCTGTGTACCTTCCTTTATTATTCTGTATCATCCAACTGCTTGACTAATTCTGTTTTTTCCATTTTGTTTTCATTTGTAATGGATCTTCTTTGTTAGCAAACAGTGAACTTTTCTGCTTTCTACTACAGAATTATCTTATAGCTGCTTGTGCGATACAAGTAATCATATTATTGAGGTCAGTGTTATATGGACTCTTCTATTACCCCGATAATACCACCATGTCCACTGGATATGACAAAGATAAGGATGTGGGGTGTATCCAACACCTGTATCCAATTTAAACATTCAGATTCTCTAATTTTATATGATGTTTGACATACCAGAAGCTCACAGTTTCTAGTAAATAATATTTCTCGCCCATTATATGGATGGAAGAGAGAAATTTCATGTCTTCTTAAATCTTATTGTAAATATATTTCTAAATAATTTACTTCTGCTTATCTAAGAACATTGTACAATATGCGACATATATGTGTTCCTGTACTCATACTTGACTGTTGAATATATATTCCAATATTTTAAGATTTAAGTTTAGGAAAATCTAATGCTTAAACACGCACTTGCACCCAATAGTTGTACTCAAGTCCTCATAACATAGATTGAGGTTGAACTTATACTTGACGGTTGTTTACAATTCATGGTATTTTGTCATTGTTGAGGTTCATTATAGGATTTTTTTTATAAAGGTAGGACGACAATAGGTGAATGAGAAGCTAAATCACATAGCAGTGTGACGCAAACCTGGCCTCACTCTGTAAACCCTTGGCCTCATTATAGGAAAACTTACCGTGGGTGAATTTATCGATGGTTCACCTGGCAACTTTGCATCTGGACAACACAACAGCAGAAATAGGTTTTCACCTTTATTATATTGAAACCCTTTTGGGAACTTTTTATTGGCAATTTGGCAGTCATATTTGTGAAGGCACTTGAAGAACAATGTGATTCCTAGGTCATGTGGACTATTGTAATTGTCATCAGTGACAAACTAGAACTCAACAACAAAGAAAATTTCCTGCACATGAACTGTGCCAAAAGCATGTTTTGCAATTCAATTAATATATATATATATATATATATGTTTTCTGATAAGTTGTTTTGCAATTCAATTAATTGTTAGAGCTTGGTTGCAGTTCATAAGTTTGCGTAGGGTGTTTGATAATATGATTCAACATGAATTAATTAAGTAATTATCAATTAAGTTTATTTGATAAGCATAATTGATATCACTTAAAAATTTAGGGCAAATTACAAATAAAACTCCAAGGTTTAGCGTGTTTTACAATTTAATTTTTAATTTTGACAATTAAAACCCTGTAGTTCATTTCGTGTCACAATGTAAGCCCTCCATCCATCTCCGTTTCATGAAGTAACGGAGAAAGTCATTTTTAGTGCCAAAACCAACCCAAAACAATGCGGTTTAGAGAGTAACAAAAATATTTTTCTTTTGACACATGTCATTTTCTTATTTGTTATTATTAATTAATATAAAATGGAAATATCCATTTTACCCTCACCCCTAACTTTTATAAACCCTAATCCTAATCCCCACCCTTTACCCAGCTCTAGCCACCACCCCCTCCATTTTTTTCGACGATATCCCCATCCTTTCCCACATCTGGCACAACCACTAAACCATTTCCCTATCTCTGGTGCAACCCCTTTCACCTTCACTTCTCTCTCACCACTACCACCGCCCATAATCCTTCTCCCTTCCATACGCCACTGCCTTTACAACCCCACTGCCCCATTTTTCCTGATTTGTAACCCCACCGCTCCCTCCATCCGATCTGTAATTGCAACCTTTTTCTTCTTCTTCTTTTTCTACTTAGCACCACGATGACCCTCTGTAACTCTCCGTCTCTCTTTTTCTCGCGCACACGCAGGTGTTCGGCGAAGGACAATCGAACAATGATCAGTGGTTCGGCGAGATCAATCTGGACTGTTGCTCTCTGTTTGGCAAAATAGAACCGAATGCAGGTCATTCCTTCGGCATTGGTTGTCCGAACGAGAAGAATGAGGTTAGACCTCGCCAAGGGAGGAGGAGGAGGAACGGGAAAGGATGAGACGGGGTTAAGGTAGGAGATAGAGGGTTGCGTCGGAGGTAGAGAAGGATCTGAAGGTGGCGCCGGAGGAGGAGGTGATCGAAGCTGCAGAGAAAAGATAGGTTGGGTGAAAGTGTTTAGGGTTGGGGTTTGAGAAGGTGGGGGGGTAATGTTGGTATTATGGTGGGGTGAAAGTGGTAGGGTAAGGGTTTAATAATAACAAATAAGAAAATGATATGTGTCAAAAGAAAAATATTTCCGTTGCTCTCTCTAAACGACGTCGTTTTGGGTTGGTTTTGGCACTAAAAATGACTTTCTCCGTTACTTCATGAAACGGAGATGGACGGGGGGCTTACATTGTGACACGGAATGAACTACATGGTTTTAATTGTCAAAATTAAAAACTTGGGATTTAAATTGCAAAACACACTAAATCTTGGGATTTTATTTGTAATTTGTCCAAAAATTTAAATACCTCTTAAATTGTAAGTTAAGATTTAAAAAAAATTTAAGTCATAATCCTGACTGAATTTATAAATACTAAACATAATATTAATATATATTATTATAAACTCACCACCACCGCTGCCGCTACCACTACCACCACCATGCCACCACCACCACTACCACTACGACCACTACGATCATGCCACTGCCATTATTAACACTACCACCATTACCACTATACCACTGCTACCACTACCACCATTACTACAATCATGGCCACCATCATGCCACCGCCACTACTGCCACCACTATCACCATCACTACCGCTACTACCATCATCACAATGCCACCACCAACATTACCACCGCCGCTGCTGCCACTATTACCATCACCTTCATCACCATTGTCATAAATGGCACCATCATTTACTATCACTACCATCGCTACTACCACCATCGCTACCACTACCACCACCACCACCAGTATGCCACTAACATCACTATCACCACTACCATCACAATATAAAAATTAAAATATACAATTTAAAAATAATAAATTTCAAATTTGATTTTATACATATCAAATAACTTATTTTTAAGGTTTTTTTTTTTATTGATAAATCTCATTTAAAGGTGTTCTAATCCAATAAGTCATCAACGAAAATTATAACGTAGTTAGTCCCAAGTATTTATATTTTTATTTCATGAGGTTTTTTTTTTTTTCCTGATTTATATTGTTTGTTGGACTATTGTACCCTTATATCTATTGTTGATATGTATTACATAGAAAAATGATATACACATTTCCTTTTTGTTACTATCTCTATTTTGATCGTTACCATTATTCACATTTTTCTTTTTGATCAATTTCATTCACATTTGTGATATTGTTTCATTGTGCTAGTTTCGAAACTCTCTATTTAGTGGGGTTTAAAAATTCTAGTTTATACATGGTGGTGAAATAATATTATATTCCTCCATTGTTTCGGTGAAACTTTATGTTCCTCCATTGTCACTTTGTGTTCGAAGTTCTGTGTTTGTCTATTGTTGCTCTGTGTTCGAAACTCTATATCTCTCAATTGTTGTAAGTCGAAACTCTGTTTATGTCCAGTCAATTTTGTTACAAACATATTTTTCAAAGGTGGGTTTTTGTTTCCTTTGGATTGGTGGAATGGTGAAATTGCATAAATTATTAATGATAGTGATAATGATAAAGATAATGTTGAAGATGAGTATATGAGTGATATTTTTTTTATTTTTAGAGTGATTGAATTTTTTTTTTTTTTTGGATTTCTAATTCTATTATTGCCATTGTTTCTATTTTTTTTGTTAATCAGTGTAATTGTTCACATTTCACATTATTTGAAAGTCTGATAAATAAGTGTTGGAATATAGATATAAACATAATTGTATATTTTGCAAGATGTAAATATTCACCTATTATTGGTTATTTGTTACTACACTTGTTATTTGAACAATTATTTTTTGTTACCATTAAATAATTGAAATAGTCATTTTTTTCTTTCAATTTTTTTTTTTTGTTGTAGTGTGACTGTTCACATTGGTATGAATTTAGTTTTTCTAAGGTTAATTGTAAATTGTGAACATTCATATTGTATTTTGGTATGAGTTTTTTTTATTTGAATTTTTTTTCAAAAGTTAGTTATATTTTATTATTTTTTTTACTGTGGTTGTTGGTTGCACAATCATTTTTGTTACCATTGAACAATCAAAATAGTCGATTTTTACTTTTTTGAATTTTAGTTTATGTTTTCGTGTTACAGTGTGAATATTCGCATTGGTATGAGTTTATTTTTTTATTTTTTTAAAAATTAGTTGTATATTAATTGTAAATTGTGAACATTCACATTGTATTTTGGTATAAGTTTTGTATTTTTGAAAGTTAATTATATATTTGTTGTTTTTGTTACTATGTTTGTCAGTTGAACAATCATTTTTTTTACTATTGAACAATTGAAATAGTCGATTTTTACTTTTTTCAATTTTGTTTTATGTTTTCATGTTGCAGTGTAAATGTTTACATTGGTATGAGCTATTTTTTTAAGGTTAGTTGTATGTTAATTATAAATTGTGAACATTCACATTGTATTTTGGTATGAACTTTATTTTTTCGAAGGTTAGTTGTATGTTTGTTATTTATTGTGAACATTCGCATTGTACTTTAATATATGTTTTGTTTTTTCAAAGGTTAGTTGTATATTTGTTGTTTACTGTGAACATTTATATTGTATTTTGATTTTCATTCAGATTTTCTGTTGTATTATTTTTAAAATTTTCAAATTATAAAAAGATTTAAAGTTCATAATTTGAGATTTTCTTCATAGAATATGGGAGAGATTTTCTCCTCAGAATAAGGGAGAGATTTTCTCCATGTAATAAGGAAAAGATTTCTCTTTAAAATGAAGGAGAGATTTTCTCCATAAAATGAGGGACTATTGTTATTTATTAATTTCAAAATAGAAACATGTACAAAAAATTAAAAATGATGATTTGGTTATATTACATTAAACATGACTTAATGGAATATTCAAAAAAAATATAGATTAAAT